GTGGGTGTACATATAACAGACTGAAGAAACACATTCACCCACACCTATCCTCAATGTCCTTATAATCGAATTTAAAGAAGAGACCGGATAGAGTTGAAATTCAATCATTTATCTTTGTGGAAATATTTGAAAAGAAACTGTTGCAATGATTTTTCAATATCTAGTGAATAAAGAGAAGTTCAACGGATTTCTGTTTCTATAGGAAAGAAACAAAAAAGAAATATACATACTATTTGTTATTCAATGAGAATATCAATGCCAGGATGTTCAATAAAAGGCGCGATTTTATCGATGAATAACAAGCTGAAATTAATATCAAACAAATTGTGTGTTAGTATACAATTATACCATATGATAATTGAATAAAATTTAGAAAAACCTTTGTAAATAGTATAAACATTATATCAATTAAGTTTAGATGATCGCATGGGTGTGCGTATGTATCAGATGAATAACTAATGAATATAATAACTCATTCTCCTGATATAAATGTCTTTTTTTCAGTTTTTAGAAGATGTTATAAGTATCTACTAGGATCTCTTAAAATCTACAAAATCATATACTATTATCTGTAGTATTTTCACTTAGGGAATGCTTGTTTTGGATATGAGTACAATGAAACACGGATGTCCTTGTAGAAGAAAATAATACATACTAAAAAACTGTTCTTGTTGTTAAATGTTATCGTTTGAAGACAGTCTGTTTTTTCAAACTGACAACAAATAACTCAATTATCGCATTCTTTTTATACATCTCGCTAGAATGTTTATTAAGAACAAAAAATAAAAAAAGAATTTTTTTTCCCGGAGTAAGATCTATTTTGATTCGTGGAAATGACTTTAAATTATATTTTACAGCTTTCTGTTTCCTTAGAGATGTGTTTCTTTTCTGACGCATTAAAAAAAAGTAATGAAATATAAAATATATCATGTTATGTTAATTGTTTTCTTTTTCAAATTAGGTTTCTGTTATTAACAAATGCGCAATTTCATATTCAATGGATAATTTTTTTTAAGATTTGAAGTGAACGGATATACAAACTTGATAAGAAGAATACTTGCGAAATAATTTTATTATATAGTTACTAAAAGAAAATTAAAATAGAGAAACTGTTTTAAGAACATCGAACTTTAAAATGTCAAACGTGTAACTAACATGTCCTATATTCATACTGAAATTCTATCAATTAAAAAACAATTATTTGACGAGATCAGGTATTATCTCTACTAACAGGATTCATTTGGACTAAATTTATTCGACTTCTATACATATAAAACTTGACTTTTACATTTTAAACTAATTTTTGTGTATTTTAGGTTGAGGATGATAGTAATATATTAATATTTCGCCCAATTTATATAAGCAAATACTTGACAAAGTGACATAGATTTATGCGAAATAAAAATATCGATTTAGTAAAAGTACTTTTATAATAAATATGAAAATATTTTGGTGTTCTGTGCAAAATTTGTTGTTATTCAAAGAGGAAAATAATTATTTTCAATACAGATATAATAATGAAATACTTCAGTATAATGACAAAAATATATATTAAAGAAAGAAATTATTAAATTCAAGGTCTCACGTAAAAACTGAAGATGTTTACATATAATCGAGAAATTGCGCAGAATATTTATTTCAGATAGAACGATAGCTAAATAATTTTGGTATAGTTTATAGACGGATAGATACAAGGAAGAATGATCAAAAGCATTTTTATATAGTGTGAATAATTACAAAAAGAAACAAGTTATTTAGCATAGTATCTATCAATTTCTGATTTAGAAAAAATGTTGATAAGTAACATTTTTCACCGATTAAATATACTTTATTAATTTAACAAAAAAACAAATATTAGATAATTGTAAACGAGAAATTTATATTTTTAAAGATGCAAAACAATGGGGAAAACTCACTAAAGAATATAATTATCAATGAAAAAACTTGTTTATTATTACAAAGCAAAATTTTTGTTGACTTGATAGTGCCGATATAAAACTGCTGGACTTATCAAACATTTTAAAACTTCTATTTTTCTTTTATTTCTATTAGTATTACTCATTCTGCGATCATTACTACAACTACTTCTCAAATCTAAGAAACAGTTTCTATTTTTCTATCAACATCATACAATCTAATTTTCTATTATAAACGCCTCCTTGAATTTGAATTTGTTTTTCAAGTGTAGTAGTTCTGTTCTATTTATTCAAAAACTTTTTGAATAAATGATTAATTTAACAACTATATTTTATATTTTGAATTATGAATGTCCTACCAGTTTATCTTAAAACATTAGAAGAGATCGTGGATATGTATGAGTGTTGGCGTAGGTATAGATATAGAATATCTGTTCCACCCGCACTCACACCCACCCTTTATTGTCTTTGATCAAAACTTAAAAATTGAAAATAATACATATTTAGAAAATTAATTTAAAAAACAAGTCTATCATATTGTATTTAATTATGGATTTTTTTTGAGGTATAACCAAAATACCATGACATTACTTTAAGTATTCCAACATACATATAGTTCCATATTCCTTGTGAATGACCCATAGCAATACTTCGATGACTTATGTTAATAGCCGTTGTTGATCTTGGAATAGTTAAATCATCATAAGAACGGATTGCTGTATTTAAATCTTTCGAATGAACTAATTGATCTGCTAGTTGATATCCATCCATTATAGACATATTTGCTCCATTACCAGCAAATGGACTCATTGCGTGTTGAGCATCACCAATAAAAATAACTGAACCATGATTTCGAAAAGGAACTAGATCTTTAGCATTAAAAATAGCAACACTACTACGTAATGTTTCTTTTATTAATGTTCCTATTGGTTCAGTAAATACTTTAGTACGTTGTTTAGCTTCATCTAAAACTTCATCAATTTCTTGTTCCATCATTGTTCCAGCAGGTTTAGCTGGGCGAAGCTTATCTGTTAAATAACTAACACTCCAAAAAGCACTTGTTCGATCAGAAGGTGCAACGAATAGAAAATGACCATCTCCTCCAATAGCACCTCCCCATGTTTTATCTAAAGGTGCTGGAAATTGATCTAAAGCATGAGTACGTGCTGTAATACAAACAGCACCAGCAAAATTAAGTACATGTTCTGGTCGAAGACATTTTCGAATAATACTATTAGAACCATCAGCAACAATTAATAGATCACATTGATCTTTACTTCCATTTGATAAATTAATTGAAACTTGTCCATTGTCAAGTTCATCAGCAGATGTAACTGCACAATTCCAATTTATAGAAATAGATGAATGAACATTTTTTAGTAGAATTTCACGTAATTTTGAACGTGAAATTCCTATGCTTGATTGAGATAAACCTTCGATAGGTGGTGATCGCATCTCCATTAATGATGAAAAATCATAATTAAAAAGTGTAAAATATGAACCAGGATTACTTTCATCAATCATTTCTTGAAGAATTCCAAGTTTTTGTAATGTTTGTATTCCTTCACTAGGTGGATCTCCACGAAGTGAAAGTGAATATCCTTCTCGTCCGATTGCATCTGTCGATGTATCACGTTCATAGACGATAATAGATGATGGTGGAGAGATTTTTCTTTATCAAGAAACTGTTGTAATGCAATACAAAATGTTATACCACCAATGCCAGCACCCGCAATGACAATACGTTTGCCAGATAAAAAATGTTGTTCATCATTCGAATTCATTTTTCTTGTAAAATAAATAAAAAAGAATTTTAAATATAACTGTTAACAAACTACGTAGAATAAGTTTATTGATTATATACTTGTTTCATCGTCGCGCATTCATACCTATGTTGTTATCATGATGTCATCGTTCTTTTTCATCATAGTGTACTTTATAGGGTAATATTGCATCATCTTCTTGTATAAGAGTCATACAAAATATTTGTTTAGATACATTTTTACATGTCTTGATAAAATAATTCTATTGAATTTTACTTCTGAAAATAGGTCAGAATATAATTAAAAGGGTGTGGGTGTGGGGTGGGTGTGGGTCTGGGTGTCAGATGAATAAAGTACCGAGACACAATCACACCCACGTACTCATCCAACTCACACCTCCACGATTACCCTCATCCAAACAAATCCTTATGTGCATCGGCGTAGATAAAACATTAATATTTTCAATGCATTCACGTTCTCAGCAATTCGACTTTATAATAAAAGAGCAAAGTAATAAAACGAAATGTTAGATATTCACTTTTTTTCAAAAGTCTAAACGATAAACTGATCACATCATTCGATAGTGAGCAGCAACTTCTATATCAAACATATTGGCTGCTTCAACCGCTTGGCGTCATACCGGACAGGTGTAGGAGGTTCGTAGTAGATGTAGCATACAAACATAATGAGAAGTGTGTCGATCATCGCAAGGCCATTGGGCGTATTCTTGCCCACTTTCAAAACTGAATTGACACACAGTGCAGTTGCTCTCCAATAGATCATTATCATAATCCTCTACGGTTTTTGGAGATGTCGAACGCAATGTACCAATAAACTCAGGTGATGCCGGCACTGAATAGGTCGACATTTCCCTAAGACATTTTAAATAGTCCGCAACTTGTTGCTGTCGTTCCTCCTCAATTAACTCGGCTAAACGATGTCGTTCCGCTGCTGCTTGGGCTTGGCTAGCTGCGTGCTCTTTCCGAAGTTCTTCTTCATGATAACTAGAACGAAAAAGTAGTAATGTATCTTATAGTACGACAAATAAAAAGAATACATACCACCGTTCGTATCTCTCACTAATATCCATTAGTATTCTATGAAGCCAATTTCTAAAGGTATCATTATTGAAGCGATATAAAAACCAGAAAGCAACAGAAATTTGAGGCGATCCGTCTAAAATCGTTACACCACAACGATTGACCATAACAATGTCTTCGACAGAAATCACGGAGAATGGTGACTTGTCATTGAACTGACGTAAAACGATCGGATCGCGTTCATTCAGATCGATATCGAAAACAATTAGATATTGTTCTCGCACTAGAAATATATGATCCATATAATTGCGTTCAGTTGGTGTATTCAAAATCATCTCTTCTAATGTTTGCAAGGTACCAAGATGGAATCGACGAAGTTCATCTTGCAGAGCTAGGACAAGTACAAGTACCGCAAGTATAAGTATTATACTTGTACTTGAAGAAGAGTACTTGGTACTTGTACATGAGAGATAAATGCAATATATATTTTCGGAATAAGATTAGTATAGCTGCTTATTATAATGCACTAATAGTTTACAACGTAATTTATTTACTATTCTCTCATGATATGCATTTGTAATTATAACAGTGGGAATAAATATAGTGAACGCAAAAGACATTGTATAATGAGATGAGTAAGTGCTACTAAACAATAATGTTTACATACCAATTCCATATCTTTATCTAAGAGATGGTTTTAAAACTAAGTCTTAGTTTTGATGTACTTATATATTTCTTCTTCACTATTTTATCAATAATTGTTTTATTAATGTTACATTTTTATAATTTTCATTTTTAAAATATATGCTTCCAAACGGCTACACAATCTTACGGGTCTTAATTTTTATGTACAATTCTAGACAGAACCATACCGCATAATTTTATGAGAAACATAAATGGAATAAAAAATGCAACACTTAACTCAATTTTATCTCTGGGATAAGAAATATGCATAAATTTATAATTAGAGTATTGAAACGCCGTAAATATTAAGTTAATCATTGTAGGAGAATACAAAACGGTCTAAACTTAACGAAATCGACGTATTTTTATTACCAAATAAGATATTATGGCATATACATAAGGAATAAGGTCCATCAAATGTAAATATTTTAATTAATTATTAAATATTGAAAAAAATTTCCCTTGTATTTTTTCTTTTATTTACATATAGTTACCTAAAGATAATGAAGAACGTTATGGTCAATGCTTATTTTATAAGACACTTGCCGATGAAACAAAATCCTGTTTTAATCGTACAACAAATATTTTTAATGACATATCAGTTTGACTTAAACCAATACGTAAGAAGAGAAAACAAAAAAATCATGTAATTTTTTGTCTATTTTGTAGTTGATGATACAGAACGTCAACCAATATTCAATCGTTCCATGATAAGGAAAATTTTTGGTGTATTAAATAATCAATATCTTGATGATGAAGGTCATTTAAAAGTTTTTAAAGCAGCATGTCGTCTTGGTGAACATATCTGTACTGATATTATTGTTCATCATCAAAATCGTCAAGAATTATTATTAAAATTTTGGTCAACGGTCGGTATAGCAAATCCTGAATTAATTAAACCTGGTTTGATTTCTTTTAAATTTGCTTTTATCTCAATTATTGATTGTTTATTAAGAAATACAAACAAATTTATTGAAGATGATCATCTCAATTTTTCAAGAAAAGATATTCTTCTTATCAGAAAAACATCTCGTTCATGCGATTTTATTAAGAACAGCACTTGATGCACAAATGTATAAAACAACAATTAAAAATTACGTTCATCTCCTTCTCGATGGTTTTTCTTATGAAGTAAATATTGAAAACAAATTTCATATTGAACATTTTCTTTCTTATTATAGAAACAACAAGATGATTCAGTTATAATAAAATTAAAACATGACTTAAAAACGTATGAGAATCTTCGTCGTATCTACGATTCACAAATTATTCATCGATTAATAAACGCAGGTAAAATTTGAACGCCCAGAGATGAAAATCTACATGGAGGGACAGCAACTTGAAATCGTAGATAGTTTCAAGTACTTGGGGTTTACTTGGACCAGCAAAAAGTCGCTGAAACCGATAGTCGACCAAGCCCTTTTGAAAATTGGCAAAGCACTCGGGAAGTTAAAAAGGTTGAGAACAGGCAGACATATCTCAACTCAAGTACTAAGACAGTGCTTTTTTGCTTATGTGTTCCCTCACTTGGCATGGATCTTCCCTTTCTATCCCTTTTTACCAAAAACGCAACGAGAGGCTCTGGACAGGAAATTCCGAGTAGCAATTCGACTTGTCTATAGATGCCCATATGTATCAGCAACCGATCTTTTCACCCTAACTAGAGAAAAGCCCCTAGAATTTTATGTACAACGATACATAAAGAAAAAAATAGAAAAAATATATAAGACGGACCTGGGAACATCATACTTCCTTCGCGATGTTTTTTACTGGGATACCTTTAAAAAGGAAAAAAATGACGCCGTGGGACATTACTTCAGATTGAGGAGACTGAAGAAGCTAGTGACAAGACGCGAGTCGCTGCTGATCAATTGGATTAATTTCGTGGAATCAGCAGCAAACAAGAACTAAATACCCTACCTAATCAACATGAGCCCCAATCGATAATATAGTATGAAGCAGAGGTGTGCGAGGCAGTAATTTTTGATGCCCCGCGGGCCCCGCCCCGTGTAACGTGTTGAATCCGTCCCGTCCGTCCCCGTGGGCAAATTCTTATAACTCTTCCCCGCCTCGTCCGCCCGTCAAATTTTAAAACCCGCACCGCCCGCCCCGTCAATTTTCTGACGGGCCTCGCCCCGCCCGTGTTACCCCGAAGATATTTCAGTTAATAATTGAAATTTTAATAAATTGTTTATTTTATATATTTAATTTATTTATCATATAAATAGATTTATTACAAGAAAAAATATTACACATTGTGCATGCTAAGCGTTTAAATAAAAAGCACCACAACAAACAGGGTTATATGAATTTCAGTTCGGCTCGAAACTCAGAACTTTTTCGACCTTTTGTTCTACGGCCAGATAGGCCTTTCGAACAGAACATTAACATAATTAATTAACCTTATTATTAATCAATAAACTTCATAACGCACAGAACCATGCACTTTTAGAAATCGTAGTGATCAGCAGGGCAGCAGTACTGAGTATTATGCCGTTCTATCGACCATTGCAATCTCAAAAAATGTATGATGTTAAGCACTGTGAAGGTTATTACTTGATAATAAAATTAAGTAATTAATTAAGGATATAGAAAATTTATTCTGACTTTGGGCTCGGCCCTAAACATTTTGGAATTTCTGGCTTGACCGAATGCCCGAGACAAAAAAATCTGTGGGCCTAAATTAAGTGGTCCTATCGAGCCAAAAATCATATCGTTGACTATAGATGGATTTACGTTACTTATCTTTTGAGATATAATAGCACCAGCTGAACTAAATGGACGTTCAACTGCTGCTGCTGCTGAAACTGAAATTTAAAATATCTTTTTTGTTAGTTTGGACAAATTAGGTATTACACTTTTTTGCTCTTGCCAAAAAAAATGGATTCTTTAGTTACCTTCGCGGTGATAGGTGTAGAATAATCAAGTAATCGATTTATTTCTTATCAAAAGTGTAATATAACGATGTCTACCGATTGTTCTCGACGGTCCTCTATCGAATTTTCAAAAATCTTATACCCGCCCGTAACCCGTGAAAAACTATCCTCGCCCGCCCGAGGATCGTACTATTTTATTTTTTTTTGTACCCGTCCGACCCGCCCACCAGCGTATAACACCCGTGGCCCGCCCGACCCGAGCAACTTTTTCAAAAAACTGTCCCCGCCCACCCGTCGCCACGTGGCCACCGCGGGTCAAAACCCGTGACCCGCACACCTCTGGTATGAAGGATAACTCAGCTAGTACTCAATGAATCAATTGCACCTTACTTTATTTCAACCGATAGAATGTTACCCCTTCTCCCACCCTTTCTTCTATTCTTTTTTTTCTTAGTATGTAAGCACTCAAGAATGTAACATTTATAATAAACGCATAAACCAAAAAAAAAATAAACGCAGGTAAATTATGATTTTTTGTTGACATTTCTTTTGAAATTTGTATATATTTAAGATTTTATCATTTCAAATGAAGAAATAGCAAAACTTTTATATGGCGAAACGCAGAACGAAGATTTATTTCAAGAAATTATCGATCAAACAAAATCTCCAGCAACATTTATCAAAGTATTAAAAGAATTTGAATGTGTGGTTATACAGAACTCAAATAGATCAACAGATTTTACTGAATTAATAGAATCATGTCAACGTGTATTATCTCTTACGATTGAGAATAACATCAATAAGAACTCGTATTTTCTGGTATTACATTTGATAAAGAACTTATTATCTTTTTTCATTATTTTTCAAAAATAAAAATAAACTTCTTTATTATTTCGAATGTAATTTATTCAGATGATGCAAACGAAATAGAAAATATAAATGTATGAGGAAAATAATTTTTGACATGTTCATCGGTTGAATCCAATGAATGAATACATAGAGAATCAATTTTTGGATAATTATATCTTGTTATGTATCTTGTAAAATAGTATGTCACTCTTTTCAGTGATTGATAATCAACATAAAGACAAAGATCATTTGGCAAAGATATTTTTGTATCAAATAAAAACAGTTCGAGATAATCATCATGAGTTTGAATAAGATCAAGTTGAATAAGATTGGAATATTGAATAATTGATGATATATGATGATGGGGTGGGTGTGGGTGTGGATTGCGATTTCTCACCCATCTACACCCACAACCACACCCTGTAGTGAAATTTTTACAATCGACTAGACGATCGATATTCTTGTTCGAGAAATACGGGTGAAATTAATTCTTTATTTTTTATTCTTTATATGTTTTTCTTCTCTTTTCATGATCGACAAAAATCTGGAAACATCAATTTTGTCGATTACAAATATGTCGATTTTAAAATTGATTCCTAGTTGATATGTCAACTTGAAATCGATAAATTTGCAATCAACATTGTTTCGATTCAAAAAAATTGTAGGTACTCACAAAAATCATATGAAAAAAACAACAACAACGACATTTTTCGAGAGAATATTCTTTATTGATAATCTTGATCATTACTATTTAGATCTAATTAGCGACTTTTCCAATTATTTTATTTCGAATTTTTTATCTGATTGAATTTCGTTTTAAAGAAAGAACACGATTACACGGAATAGTCTAATTATGAGTTTGTTAGAGAGAGGAGAATAGAGAGAGAAAGAGAGAGTGGTGGTGTGTGCGAACCTGTTAGTTCGCTAAATCTAACTTCTGTTTATTTTCGTACATCGTGTACATATATATATGCTTTAAAATAACAAAGAAAAAGAGAGATGAGGGAGACCTGAGATGATATCATATTACATATGATATCATCCAGGTCTGCCCTCTAACATACTCCCATTGACAAAAAAAATCTTCATAATGTAAAATAACAAAAAGTTTCAACTACGAAAGGAGAGACGAGAGGAAAAGAAACTAATATAATCAAAAATGATATTCATAACAATAACATACAAAGTAGTATCAGTAATAACAAAAAAGGAAAACAGAAAAACATAGATCTACTTGGCGTTGCTAATGAAGATAAAATTCTGGCAATTCCATTTGCTATGTTGTATTGTTAAGACATATGACATTGTAGATCCCATATTACTGATACCGGAAGACCTTGAATCATGTAGTTGAGATATTGTTCATGATGTAAGTGGTTCATCAAATATAGATGTCGATAATAAATAATGTGCGTGTAATTGGTTCATTTTAATATAAATGATTCGTCATATAATAATAAGGAATTTTTTCATTCCAAATGATATAATACATTTATTTTTTGTTCATAAAAATATAACCAAATTTTTCTAATTTTTAATATAATCATACAATTTTTTCCATAATATTATTATACATGTTTTATTTCATAATATAATACATTTTTGTTTATCATAATATAATAAAAAAATTTCATAATAATATAACAAATTTTTTGTTTATCATAATGTAATAATTTTGTTTCTTTTTTTTCTTCTTTAATATCGGTGTTGATGGTGATCATTTTGTTGATGACGATTTTGACGATGTTGTTGAAGACGATGTTGTTGATCATTTTGTTGATGACGATGGTGTTGATGATGATGTGTTGAGAACAGGTGTTGGGCAATTCTTTCATGTTCATCAATATTATCAGCTTTTTTCAGACCAATGTATAAGGTAAATCCAGATTTTGATTTGTTAACAGCTGAATATGGAATGCCATGTTGTCGTAGAGTTTCTTTCACTTTTGTAATTGTAAATCTTCTATTGAAGTGACGACAAATAATTTCTTTACGGTAGTATCGGACGCGTTGTTTGATGGTGCGTTTTCTATTTTCTCTACGTTTTCTTGCTTGTTCTTCTAATGTTAATTCAGTATGAGGTGGTGGTGATGGTGGTTGTTCATCATGTATATGTTCATGTACTTGTTCATCGTGTATATGTTCATGTATATGTTCATCATGTATATGTTCATGTACTTGTTCATTATGTATATGTTCAGGTACTTGTTCGTTGATCAAACTCGATTCCCACTCGCGTGGGTATCTTATACGACCAACAATATGAACATGTGCAGGTGGAGGTTGTGGTGAATCATTTTCATCATCAGATGAAATATTTTCTAATTCATAATTAAATTGTTCATGTGAATTTTCATGTGAATGTTCATGTGAATGTTCATGTGAATGTTCAGTTGTTGTTGTTGAATGATAAGGCATAATTCTTAATTTAATAATAAGTTGATGCATGGCAAGACAGTCGTATGCGGCGTATTTTGTTAGACGTTCACGTTCATTTTGTTGAACAAGATCACATGAAGATAAAGCCGGATCTAAGCCAATGTCGAATTTAGATAATGTTGCACGTTTATCAAGCCATTGATTCAATTTCTGAGCAACAGCACATTGGATTGACCAAGGTTCATTTGGAGATTTACCGATACATGGTTCGCATATACATTCAGTTGATGGATTATCATTCGATGATTGATGAGTATGACTTTCTCTCCACATATTTTTGAATACTTGTTGTAAATTATTAAATTGAACGTGTGTTAATTGTTCATCATCAAATAAATTATAACTTTTGAATGGCAATAATTCATCTGCTTCACCCCAAACATATATAGTATTATTACTGTTAAAAATTGTTGTCATCAGCTTCTTTATTAATGAAAATGAAAATGTATCACGTGAAGGGAGATAACAACATTCAATAATGATTACGATCGAATAATTTCGAGGTAGAATAGCTTCGATTTGTATAAGTGTGGGTTTGTTGGGTTGATAATGTACGATAACAGATTCAGTATCAAGACAAAAAAATGTTGTTGTATTTGCTGCTGTTATTATTTGTGTTAATATTGCATCTGATGTTGTTCGATTAATATGATATATCAAGTAAGGTGCAGGTGTGAATGGTGGATATTTTATCGAATATTCATATTCTTTAATAATGTGTTTGAGTTGTTGTCTTTTTCTACTTCTTGCTTGACCTGTAATTGTTGTTGGAAAATTTTCTAATTGCCATTTTGCTTCATGATATTCTTCTTCGGATAACATTTTGATATAATAAAAATCTTTTTTTTTTTTTTTTGTGTATATATATATATGTATATATACCTTGAATAATGAACCCTAAATAATCAACAATAAAAATTAATTTAAACGATTTACCTTTAACGGTCGATTCACTGAAAAGTGAATCCGGAAATATTTTCCTTTTAATATAATGAATAATATTAATTAATTAATGTTATTCTACCATGTGTACGAATACTAATATCAAGGGGAATAATAACCAAATTAAATCACCACGTGTATCAGCAATAATATTGTTAATGTTAAATTAATTAATTCACTAATTTTGATTGTTGTTCAACGTGTTGTATCTAAAATTGTTTATCATCTTATAAGTTTGTTTGTAAGGGAAAAAATAAATAAGTAAAATGAAATCCATTTTATTCTAAGATAAAATGTGGATTCTAGAATTTTCTATTTTGTTTTCTATAAGTATGGAGGGGAAAATTTCGTTTCGGATTGGTACGAAAATGTAAAACATGGATTTAGTGTATGATTCATTTATATAGATGGATACATGTATAACATGACATAATATATCAACATATCATAAGATTTCGTTCATCATGTCAATTAATATGATTACGAAATTGTATTCCATTTGATTTTCTATGGCCATTAGAGAATCTGATGAAAAAATAAATGTTAATTATTTAACAAATAATATTTCGTATAATAAATTAACCATTTAAAAAATAAAAATAAGTATAATTAATGTAGTAGCCCTTCACAACCAGTGAGTGGAGGAAAAAACACTTCCCGATTGTGCTATGCTAAATTAAATTTGATTACACCATTTCAATGATAATTAATTAATTCATTTATTTTGACATATATGTTGAACGATCGAATCTCTTGGTAGAGATTCTATTTTAATTAATACGTTGAAATACTGGTAGTAACACATCCGTTGTAACTTGACGATGTAATGTAGGTTTCTTGATGTGTTGTATGATGAATGTTTTGGATGTGATTTTCTTTATTATCCGGTATGGACCTTCATATCGTAAATCGAATTTTGATCGAAAGTTGAGGGTTTTCGCCAGAACTAAATCGTTGATTTCATATGTTGGATCAGTACGATTTCTGTCGTAACGTTCTTTATAACGTTCTTGATTGAGTATAATATTGTGTCTAGCTTGTTCATTTAATGTCGATAAGTAATTGTTGAGTTTCTGTACATGTTCAGGATCATAATCGAGTGTAACGTTTGTATCTTGATGATCAAATGGTAATATCGGTTTTCGACCATACATCATTTCGAATGGTACTTGTTTATTTGATGAATGAATTGATGTGTTGTAGTTGAATGTGACGAAAGGTAGTTGATCATCCCAATTCGTTTTTCGTATATTTGACAGCGCAGCAATTTTTGCATCCATTGTTGAATTATATCTTTCTACTTGTCCGTTCGTTTCAGGATGGTATGGTGTTGAATATAGGTGTGTTGCACCGATTTGTTTGATTAATTCATTGGTTAGTGCAGATGTAAAATGCGTTCCATTATCAGTAAGAATACAACGAGGTGTACCAAATTTTGAGATGACATCTTCTTTAAGAAATCTGACAGCTGTTAGAGCAGAATTATCTCGTACAGCTCTTGTAACAACAAATTTGGATAAGACATCAGTGAGAGATATAATATATTTATTACCACGTTGTGATGTTGGATTAATTGGTCCATGAAAATCCATAGCGACTAATTGCCATACACCTTCTGGTGGTTTGATTGGTCTTAATTTACCAGGAGTTTTTTGTCGACGTGGATTATATTGAGCACATAAGATACATGATTTAACATAATTATCAATATCTTTATACATCATGGGCCAGAAATATCGTGTTTTAATTTTGTGTACAGTTTTACTTCTTCCAAAGTGAGCACCATTTGCTGCTGTGTCATGATAAATTTTCAGTATGGATCTTCTAATTTCACCTTCTGGTACGTAAGGAACTGGAGGATGTAGTCGACGTATTAATAGATTATTTTCTATGTAATATTTTTTATTTTTCTTAATGTTGTTAATAATGTTTTGTGCATATTTATCGTCCTGCTGAGCTTGAATCAAATCCTCAGTTGTAAATGGGATAATTCGATTCTCTTCAGTTAGAGAATCCGGTACTAATTTTGGTGCATTTGTAGGATCATCTTGTGGTTTGTTATGTAATTTAGAAGAACGAGTTTCTGTAGCTGCGACTACTGCAGAATATTGATTGTAAAGTTGAGGATCGGTTTGAGTTGATATTGAATTGGTGGGAGATATTTCATCAGGATCTTCTTCAGCATCTTCTACTGGAGATCTTGATAAATAATCAGGCATGGAATTTTCTAAACCAGGAATGTATTTGACATCAAATTCATATTCAAGAATTTTTAATCTCCATCGTTCGCATCTTTTATTGATTTGAGCTTTTTTATTTAATTGTGTTAATGCTTTATGATCAGTTTCCCATGTAAATTTTGTTCCACTTAAATAATTATGCCATTTATCTAATGCATGAATGAATGCATAACATTCTTGTTCCATCGGAGACCATCTACGTTGTGCTTGAGTAAATTTCTTTGAAAGATATGCAACGGGTCTATCTCCTTCTGGATAAATTTGTAATAAGACTGCACCGATTCCCTCATCAGAAGCATCTGTCTGAAGTTTAAAAGGGGATCTATTATTTGGAAGACGTAATACTAAATCAGTTGTAAGAAATTGTTTGAGTTGTTCAAATGCTTTAATTTCGTCATCAGTTAATTTAATTAAAGTTTTTTGACCTCTTCTTTGTTGTGTTCTGGTAGTTGGTACGAACTTCCTTAGTGGTTCAGCAACTTGTGAAAAGTTTGGTATGAATTTTCTATAATATTCAGCACCTTTTACAAATTTACAAGCTTCATCTGGTGTTTCAGGAACTTTAGTATTTAATAATCCATGTATATTTGTTGAACATGGGCGAATTTCACCATTTCGAAGATGATGTCCAAGATAATCAGTTTGTGTTTTTGCAACTTCGCATTTTCCAGGATTTAATCGAAATCGAGCATTTCTTAATATTTGACAAATTTCATTGAGATGTGATACGTGTTCGTCAAATGTGTTGGAGTAAATAATAACATCGTCGATATAGGCTAATGCATATTTCCATCGTGTAGGGCCTAATATCTGATTAATTACTCGTTGAAACGTTGCAGGGCCATTTGTTATACCTTGTGGAAGTACTGTGAACTGATAGTGATTGTCGCGAGTTGAGAAAGCCGTTTTCGGTCGGTCCTCCTTGGAGAGAGGTACCTGGAAATAACCAGATTTAAAATCAAATTTTGTATAATACTTTGCATCAGTTAATTGATCAAATATTTCGTCGATTCGAGGAAGAGGGAATGCATCTTTAATTGTGACTGTATTTAACCGACGATAATCAATACAAAACCGCATGGTTTTGTCTTTTTTCTTGACGAGAACAACAGGTGAGGACCATGGTGATGTTGATTCTTCAATTTGACCACGTTCTAATAATTTTTGTGTTTCTTGAAGTTTGATTTCTTGGTCTTTCTGTGAAACTGGATATTGTTTAGAATAAATTGGAGGATGATCACCTGTTCGGATTGCCGATTGTGGAGGTATATTAATAATTGATGGTGTTGGATCAAATAATATTTTGTTTCGCCATAATATATCTTCGATTATTGATTTATGTTTTGGATCTTCTATGTGAGCAATTAATTCGATTATTCGTTGTCGAATATGATCTGAATAGCATTGTGCTCGTAGATGTTTCTGTAAATCATTACCAGATAAAAAATATTCTTTACAACGATAACAATAATTGTTTGATTGTATCTGGTTCGAGTTGTCTATCGTGTCGGAGACAGCTCTAGTTCTTGAGTTTTCTGAATGTAGATTTCGGTCTTTATGATCATGTTCTGAATCGAATTGTTGATTGGTAGTGTGAGTACTTGTTGTAAATATCGATAACGTTGAATGTTGAGAAAATGTACCTATTCGTGTATGTTTGGATAATATTTGTTGACGATTTTGTGCGTTAATTAATAATATTTTTGTTTGATTATCTTTTATATTTACTAATGTATGTGGCATGAAGATAGATTTTGAAATATAATTATCATGTGGTTCAAATATAAGATCTTCTCCATGTTTTAATTGACAATTAATATCAACTAATGTTTGAGAATAAGGTGGAAGTGTAATTTGATTAACTAAAGTAGCAGCATAATTTATATCGTTGGGTTCCACATATGAGACAGAAATAGGACGATTATATTGATCAGGAATTGTTAATCGTTGCTGATCACCAAATAGATGTATGTGGTTTGAATTAATCCAATCATTACCTAAAAGAATTGTTGTAATTAAGTTGGTTGCTACATAGGTGACGATGGTAGTTTTAATGTTGGAGATTTTAATCTCTAATTCAATTTGTCCGACTAAATGTAGAGGTGTTGAATTTGCTGTTTGACAGTTATAAGATGTTGGAATAAATTTTTTATGTTGAATAGTTTTAAGAAACTTTGAATGAATAATGGAAATAGCAGATCCTGTATCGATGATTGCTTGTGTAGGTTGATTGTTGACGAGGGTTTTAATATATACAGGGGAAGTTGATGGCTTAATAGGTTTGCTGGAGGTACCACCATCAAGGGCTCCAGCTATTGAAAATTTGGTAATGTATTACAATCACGTAGCATGTGGTTTCCTCCACATTTAAAACATCCGCTTGATTGTTTGTAAAAACAATCAATTGTTCGATGATTTGTTCGATCACAAATTCTACAAATAAGATTCTTCTGTGGTGTTATTGTTGTTCGAAATGTGTTTGATTGTTTATTAAATGTATTTTGTCGTGAAAAATTTCTTCCAGTTAAATTAGGAAGTAATGGTGGTGGATATGTATATCTAGCACCCGAGTTCCGCTGTGAATCGGAGCTCTGTATACGTGTTGATTGTTGTCGTCGATCATTCTGTTTCGTATATTCATAATTTTGTTTACGTGGATATACTGCAGCAGTTAATGATGAATTCGATTGATAATTATGATCAAAATATGGTTGTTGTGGATTAATTGATAATGTACCCATATTGTTGAATGTATCATTTAAATCTTGTTCGATTTTTGCATACTTTAAAAATTCATCTAATGAATTCATCGCTGATTCACGACGAGAAAGTTCTTTTCGAAAATTGGAATTAAGTCCACTGAGTAAATATTGAATTATTGTTGAATCCGACATATCTGGATCTACTTCTCGACATAAATTAATAATATCATCACAATATGTAATAATTGCTTCATCCGATTTTTGTTGTCGTTGTTTTAATTGTTCGAACTTCTTCGGAGTAATTGTTGTTGAGATATATCGATTTCGAAATGCTGTTTCGAAATCTGACCATTTTTTAAATTTTGCTTCATTATTATCGAACCATATGCCTGCTGATTGTGTTAATTTGCCACGGACAATTTCAAGTAATTCGTGATTTTCAGATTCATTCGTAGCTTTTGTTATATTCTTGATGCTCTTCAGGAATCGTTCAATATCTTCGGATGGATGTCCTGAAAAACTAATTAAATCATCGAATCTTGCTTTCCGTGCTCGAGCTAATATTGCTGGATCAGCCATTGGAGTACGTAAGGATTGAAATAAAAATGTTGTAGTTAATTTACGAATTCGTTTAACACGAGGTTTTCGAGATGATGATTCAGTTATAAGAGCGTGTGGAAGTAATCTCTTCTGGTGTTTCTTAATAAATGATCTAGTACCGAGAGCCGTTGTTGAAAATTTTGTTAATTAATCTTTGAATATCGAATTTTTTCTTCAGAGATTCGTTGTATAATCACAGTTAATCGTATTTCTTCAAAGTTTGAACTAACTCGAGTCTCGTTTTATTTTCGAGGCTCCTTCACCGTAGATATAATAATAATATAATCGATTAAGTTTATGATAAATAAAAAAAATATATTGTAATTGATAGAGAAAAAATATATATATTTACGGTAATTGATGAAGCGTGTAACGTAATAATATATTTGATAAAATTTGTGTATAATAATATATATTTTCTTATGTTAATGTAAAAAAATATATATGTATATATGTACGTCGATAATCGTGTTTGTTTATTTTCTTTCTTGTTAGGCTCGTGTCCAGGGTCGCCAATTGTTAGAGAGAGGAGAATAGAGAGAGAAAGAGAGAGTGGTGGTGTGTGCGAACCTGTTAGTTCGCTAAATCTAACTTCTGTTTATTTTCGTACATCGTGTACATATATATATGCTTTAAAATAACAAAGAAAAAGAGAGATGAGGGAGACCTGAGATGATATCATATTACATATGATATCATCCAGGTCTGCCCTCTAACAGAGTTTAATTAAAAATATCTTTTTTTCAGATAAAAGACGTGATAAAAAACAATAATTCTGCTCAAACTTTGTGTTAATGTTCAGATGTAATTAAAATCAACTTAAAATATCAATTTCAATATTTAATAAATTATTGACGTGAGTAAATATATTTTCTAAATAACCCATCTTGTGAAACCTTCATTTTACCACATTTTTTATGTTGGTTTTATTCAATGAGCATCATCAGATCTTTGATAGGATATGGGTGTAAAGGTGTAGTAAAGAAGAAGCAGGCCCACATCCACACTCCTTGTAACTCCGATTAAATTTACAAAAATCGTAATATAGATGACTAATTTTGATTATCTTTCGTATATGTATGTTCTTCAAAGAAACTTTATTGGTTTTATTCAAGTTTAAGAAACAAAATATAACAAGAAAGCACATCAAGAAAAAATGAATATCAATTTCTAAAGGTGGTTTTGTTCAACAGCAATGATCAAAAGAATTCAGATATACAGCTTGATTAATAAGAAACTATTATTAAGAAAAAAACAAAAATGTATGAAAGAAAAGACAAGATAAGACACACATGACTAACTAAACAATACGTTAAAGGAATGAGTCAACAAATTTTGTTATGTATCCGTTTATAATTCAGTAGCTTTTCGTTTAGCTTTTAATGCTGCTTCACTTGTTTCTTCAGCAGCTTCTTTTGCTTTTTTAGCTGCTTGTTTTTTCGAATCTTTAACATATTCTTGTGCTGCATCAAGTGCATCTTCACCTATAAGAAAACAATCATGAGAAAAAAAACAAAATATGTATTATCCATTATTTACCAGCATGTCGGCCAGCTTTTAATGCTTCATTAGCTAAAACAATTCAAATACATATAATCCTATAAAAAATACAAAAGAAAAATTTCTACCTTTATCTCGACTCAATTCAACTGCTTGTTCGGCTAATAAAAACAAAAGCAATAAATATCCAATAAAAATAAAGTAAACAAAATAATTTACCTAATTGTTTACTTTTCTTAACACCATCAGCACCTAATTCAAGTGAAGCTTCATAAGCATCGATACTAGCTTGTTTACCAGCTTTAAGTGCTTCATTAGCTATTGAAAATAATAGAGAATAAAATCATTATATAATAATATATAAATATAAACCTTTATCTTTGCCCATTTCAAAAGCTTGTTCACCTAATTTTTGTCCTTGTTTTACACTTTCATCAGCAAAATTTTGTGCTAAAATATATTTTATTAAAATTAAAGAAAACAACAATGTTCGTTTGTCTCTTTACCTGAAGCTTTAACATCATCAGCAACTTTAGCTAATTTTTCTTTAGCTATAAATAAAAAAAAATTTAATATTAACGAAAAAATAAATAAATCAATTTTTCTTACCAACTTCAGCATATTCACCGGCTTTTTCTTTCAAATATTCAGTACCTGCAGCAACTTTGGGTGAGGCTGCATCATATGCTTCAGCAGCTTTATCTTTCACAAATTCGGCTCCTTCAGCGACTTTAGGAGCAATAGTATCATAAGCTTCAGCAACTTTATCTTTTACAAATGCAGCACCATCAGCAACTTTAGGTGCAGCTGCATCATATGCTTCAGCAACTTTATCTTTTACAAATGTAGCACCATCAACAGCTTTGTCTTTGATGAATTCTGCACCTTCAGCAACTTTAGGTGCAGCGGCATCATAAGCTTCAGCAACCTTATCTTTTACAAATGCAGCACCATCAACAGCTTTGTCTTTGATAAATTCTGCGCCTTCAGCAACTTTTGGTGCAGCTGCATCATATGCATCTTTTACCTATTTTAGAAATAGAATATTTAATTAAATGAAGAGTAAATACAACATACTGTTTCAACAACCTTGTCTTTTAAATCAGCTTCTTTTTTAGCTAGTGAAGCCGAAATAAAAAGAGTAAGACAAATAATCGATAAAAACTTGTTCATATTGTTTATTTTACGAAATGAAATTATTATATCTAAAATTAGAAGCTTATGTATACACAACAACGAGACGAGTAAGAAATAAACGAGTCTAAATGTAAAAAAAGAAAGTATATGCAAAAGAGAAAAAAAAGAAAAAGAATCATAGTATGAAGTCACATGTTGCTAGTTGTCTGAAGATGTGATGTGTCACGCATATCTGTCTACTCTTCGAACTGACTGACGAACTGATTATAAGAAACTATTTTTCACCAATTATGTGTTTTCTTATCTAGAGGGCGCTATTAAATAATCATCTACCAAATAATTTCATATTTTTTATTTATGATTAATTCTTGCATAAAAATATTTTCTCATCGTTAAACTCCTTATCAAATAAATCGTTGATGAAAAATCAAATAAAATGCTATTGGATGAAAAATAACTTCCGTTGTCAAGCGATTATAAAATCATCCGAAGAGTGCCTATAATAATCTTCTCATTGTAAATATGTCTCAATGAATGATCATAATTTTTTATCAATTCAGTCAAATCGACGTTCATTAAAACTTGAACTAGTCGATGGTTCAATTCAAGAAATTGAATATGAATTACCAATTGATCGATATGATCTATTACGTTTAATATATCATGAGCTTAAATATGATCAAATGTATGATTGGGATACATTTAATGAATCAACAGCATTTACTCGAACAGATAATGGGATTACAACATTATCACCATTAAGTTATTCATCAGATGATATCATATACATCTTAGTTTTGCCAAATAATAATAATAATAATAATAAAAGTATGTTTATTTTATTATTCATATATAGAGTTTTCATTAATTAAACATTCTCTTTTAGGTCCATTTGCAAGATTTAAACAATGGTTATGGCCTGCTTAACAAAAATCTCTTAAATACTTCTAGTCATATCGAAATTAAATTAATAAGTCTTTCTTTGTCGTTTTGTAACGTATGGTTTCGATTCATAATAGAAATGAGAACAAAAAAAAGATTATATATAGTTTTATTAAATAAATTATTATAATATTAAATGAAAATAAATACACCCATTCTATAATAAATAAAATCAATATTAGTCAATAATTTCGTCCGATTCAAGTTTATATTGAATATAAAAATCGTTTATTTTATTTAAAACAATGAACATATGTGTACTATGTTCGAGCATTTCGTTTAAAACCTTGAAGAGAAAAAAACAAATTAGATAAATAAAAAATATCAAACAAACAAACTTGTCGTTCAAATAAAATATCTTGAGCATCATTTCTATCAATAGTAAGAGAAATAAAAAAATCTTCATTATTAGGAACTGACTGAATAGCTAACTAAAATAAAATATTTTTATATATGTTTTATCTATATTATAAAAATATTTACTGAATAAACTCCACGTGTAGTCCAAGTATGAAAAGATTTTAATATTTGTCTATAAGCTTTGTTCATAGCATCTTCAACAGTTTTATCACCTTGACCAAATTCATGTATAAAACATGCAAGAAAATGCATATTCCTGAAAATCTATATAATTATTTTCTTATTTTTATTTCAAATTTACCTTTTAAGCCAAAGAAGTGCATTTGTTGCAGAATCCTTTTCTTTTGTTATTTGTGAAATGATTTCATTGTTAATAATCGAAAACAAAGTTGGAAATTGATTTGAATCATTAGACATTTTTTTTCGAAGTATCTAATAAAGATTTACTAAAAAGAATCGCTATCAATATATATATAAACTTACATTGATACATTTATTTGCATCTGAACGACATGTACCAATTAAATTACAATATTGTTCACATGTTGAAAGGAATAATTCAGAAGGAATTTCGTTAAATGATAAAGAACTTAGTGCGGAAAATCTATATTAAAATATATTCGAAAATTATTTCAATTCTATTAAATTTTACTTTAGATGAAGTTCAGAAAAGAATGTACGATATATCATTTGTTTTGGTAAAATAGAAATTGCATTTAAACTTCTAGAAAAAAAATGAAATCATTAAAATAATGAATTGAATATCCAACTTCGTTGAATTAAATTCATCGGATAGTTTTCGTTGTGATAATGAATTAGTGGAATCATTTGTTGCTAATTTAACACATTCATCAAGAGTTTGGATAAATGCATCACAAGTAATACTCAACATTGAACTTGTTTTATCTAAATCTTTAACATTTGGTGTTGGTGTATCATTTACAATAGATTTTATTGCATGAATACGTTGCATAAGAACAGTTTCATAGAGTCGTAATTCTTGCACTTTTAATTTAAGATCATGATCGATTGCACTTAAATGAGAAACTAAACAAAAACAAATATGATTTTCAGAATAAATATAAGATGTATTTGCCTTACTTAATGTAGATGTATTATTATTATTATTATTCGATGTTATTGTTGTCGTTGTTGTAGTTGATTTAGTTCCTCGAGATTTACATGAACCCAATGCAACTAGCCAATGTTGTCGTTCTTGTTGTGTTTTAGCTTTTAAACAAAAAAATTGTTCACCAGGAATTATTAAATCAAAACGAAGTGAATCATTTGGATGAGCTAAATTTTCACACAAAAAAAATAATTTTATAGAAAAATCAATTTCTTTACCTTTAACTTCACAAGCAAGAACTAAACATGAACCTTTACAACCTTCATGAATTAATTCATGTGATTTATAATAAGAAAGAATACCATTTTCATTCAAAACAAAATAACGTGGTTGCCATCCTAAATATAATACAAAATATTAATTTATTCTTTTTATTTTATTTTATTTACCATTGTAATAGTTAGTCCATTTTAAAAGTGTACCCTCCATGAAACAATCATTTACCTAAAAGTAAAATAAACTACGTTAACGTAAATATATCATTTCATAAGTCATTCTGTGACAGATGACACACTGTAACATCCGCTAGGATGACTCATTGAAACGAAAAGAAAGTCAATTATACTATATGTTTATTAAATTATTCAATATACATTCTTTTATATCTTCAAATGAAATATCACTAATCGTATGTTTTTTATTGCTAAATTGATTGGTGTTGTGTTTATTTTTGAATAGAACTACATTCAAATAAATACTAATCATAAATATAGAAAAAAAAGCGTCCTCTGTCGTCATTGTCAATGATCTAAAATTGAAAATAATGACAACCGCGTCTTCTCGTTATCTATAATAAATTCATGTTATAAGATCATACACTGATTTATCATTCGAGTGTTATATTTTCGTCGTTTAATTTTGCATCGTAATATTAAACTTTATTACCTTTCCGATTGATTACACAGTACAATACAAATATATTTAAAGAGACTCTTATGTTTTAAATAATTTATTATTAATAAAAAATATGAATAATAACCATGTAACTATATTCCTACGTAATATCATCATTGATGATAAGTACTCAATATATTTATGAATATTACTTACCTGTAATATTTCACGGTAAATTTGTTCGATTAAAATGATAATGTATGAAATATATGTGCGTCATTCAAGAAAAGATTTCACTATAAATACCGATGGTTTTTTAAAGAAATCATATTAAACATTAAATTACAATTCTACATGGCGTCTAATATTTATATTTATTCGTTATTTTATCTTTTCATTTATTTTACTTCAACAAATGGATTTATTCCACAACCAATAATTGCTGATGGTGGACAAAGCAGTGATAGTTAGTTTCTCTTGCATTAAATTCTTAATATATTATTTATCTATTTTAGGTATTACACATACAGAAATTACACAACTTGGTTTTATTCGTACTCTTTGTCGTTACCTTTATGATACACGTATTGTTCCAAATAAAAATAATACTGTTAATAAGAATCCACAAGATTACTTTGCTAAACAACATACAATTGATGATTGCTATAAACTTGCACATCCTGAATATAGTGACGCTCAAGTAACATTATACACAGGTCCAATGAAATTTGCACTTGATCTTGTCATGACACACAATGCTCTCGTTGATTTTGATCCAAAAACAAAAAAATTATCATCTGCACATTGTGATAGTGAAGCTTTTCCTAATTGTAGTCGACGTATTATTCAATTGAAAAAAACAGGTAATTTAAGTTTTTGGAAATAATATATTTATATTCAATTATATATTATCTTTAGTTGTTGATGATGTACTTAACAATAAGACCGATTTAACTAATGCACATACATCTCTTGGACAATTACTTCATACATTACAAGATTTTTATTCTCATTCAAATTGGGTTGAATTGAACAAAACAGATGTTAATATTCTCATTGGACAAAATGAAACAATTGGTACAGTTGCTGCACCCGATCAAGCAACTTGTACCAACAATGGTTGTGTGACTAAAACACAAGATTGTGTAAGTAGACTCAATATTATTTATTTATTATCTATTGATTATTCTGTTTTTATAGAGTATATGGCAACGTATTACTTTGAGAAAATGTCCACTTGTTTATTATGATTGTACAAATAATATTTTACCTGAAATAATTAATAAACAATTATTAACAAGTGGATATTTATTAGATCAAATGACTGACAGTAATGGTATAATAAGTAAACCATTAAATCTAAGTAAATGTTCTCATGGATCAGTTTCTGATGAATCAACAAGTATACCAGCTATTGGTGGTATTAATAAAGATTCGACTAATTTAATCTTTTCACCTCATGCAAATCTTCAGTAAGCAAAAAATATTTTTAATTAAAATTCATATAATCAAAAAAAAATGATTGATTTTAGTTTTATAGCTGTTGAATATGCTATAAATGCAACGGAACGTTTTCTAAATGATTTACGAAAACAATTTGGAGATGAGAAATTCGGTCATCTTTTTCTTGTTGATCCAACAGACATTGCAGCAAAAGCTGTAGAAGATGAAGTTGCTAAAGGAAAACGATTTCGATTTTTTACACCACTTGTTACAGCTAGTTTAAACAAAAGTACTGGTTTTCTTATGGATTTAAAAAATACACTTACAAAAACTATCAATTCAATTACATCAATATTCAATAATATATTTCCTAGTGGCAAAGCAAATATACCAACATTTGATTTAAGTGATTTAGGAATTAATATTGAAGATATGAGTAATTCGGATGCTGCACCATATCTTTTTGCAAGTAAAAATACTGGACGTAAGAAACGTTTAATTGATGCTCGTCGACAACAAAAAATAAACAAATAAACACTCTTATTTTTTGTAACTTATGATTTTCTTATTTTTTTATTCTTAAATAAATAAAGAAAACAAGTTTTGAAAAGGAAATATATCTTTCTACGCAGTTTTTTTGTTAAAATATAATGCGATTCACCGCGAGTGGGTGGGTCACATTGATTCGAAAGGGTTTATGAGTATGTGATAAAAATAAAACAAAGTGAATAATAGTTTGTTTGCATGCCTATATTAAACTATCGATATTAATAGATGTTTCATGTTTTTCGTAAACAAATATTTATGTTACATCTGTCGCTCTTTTATAATTGAGATAAAAATCATATGTGTCCATCGATTCATTCATTTATTATTGAATTTCAACTATCGATGATGGTTCCGAAATATATTCTATATCTAATCTCTTTACTATTCTGTCTTGCAAATATACATGCATTTATACCACATCCTTTACTTGCATACGGTGCATTGACTAGTAATAGTAAGTTTATCTACTGTACACTCCTTATAAAATTATTCTTCTCTATTCGTTATAGGTATTACACATACAGAAATTACACAACTTGGTTTTATTCGTAGTCTTGGTCGTTTCTTTTATGATATGCGTATGAATTCAAATAATACGAATTCCAGTGCGATAGAAGAGGATGACTTTTTAACAAATGAACATACAATTGATGATCTTTATGAATTTGCATATCCAGAATATAATACATTAGAAATCGAATATTATTCACTTCCATTAAAATTTATTCTTGATACTATTTTAACAAACAATGTTTTAGTGGATTTTCATTCAAATACAAAAAAATTATCAGCTGCACATTGTGATAGTGAAGCTTTTAGTAATTGTAGTCGACGTGTTATTCAACTTAAACAAAAAAGTAATTAACATATATTATAAGATTGATCTAGATCTTTCGATATTTTATCTTAGTTGTGAATAATACACGTACAAAGTATAACGATTTCACGGAAACACGAGAATTACTTGGACAATTAATTCATACAGTACAAGATTTTTATTCTCATTCGAATTGGGTTGAAATGGGCAAAACAGATATTAATACTCTCATGGGATATAATGAAACAATTGGTACAGTTGCTGCACCTGATCAAGCAACATGTACAAGTTCTGGTTGTAAAAAAATAGAAAAAACTTGTGTAAGAAAATTCCTATTTAATAATAACATAATGTATTGAAATTTTAGACTGTTTGGCAACAAATTACTTTAAATATGTGTCCACTTGTTTATTATGATTGTCAAAATAATATTCTACCAGAGATTAATGAACAACAAATATTAACAAGTGGATATTTACTTAATCAATATTATGAAAATAATGATATATTAAGTAAACCAACTAATGTTAGTAAATGTTCTCATGGATCAGTTTCTGATGCATCATCACATTTACCAGCTATTGGTGGTATTAATAAAGATGCAGAAAGTTTAATATATTCACCTCATTCGAATCTACAGTGAGTATATTGATCTTATTTAATAAAAAATATATTTTCTTTTATTTTTAGTAAAAATGCTGTTGATTTAGCTATAAAAGCAACTGAACGAGTTTTTAATGATCTACGACAAGATATAGGTGATTACAATTTTGATCTTCTTTTTGCAATTAGTCCAAATGGACCGCAGGTTCAAAATGAAACGGATTCGTTTTCTCAAGGAAAACGTTTTCGATTTTTTACACCGGGTCTTGCCACTTCTGTGGAAGAAGATTATCGATTGTTGAGACAATTGAAAAAATCATTTAGAAAAGCTTATAAATTTACCAAATCTATATTTACTGGTCGATATTTTCGAGATAAAACAACTAATCAACCAACTTATGATTTAAGTGATCAAGGAGTAAATGTTAAAGATATTAATAATTTTCGTTCAGCACCATATCTTATTGGAAAAGAAGAAGTTAGACGTAAGAAACGAATGATAAATGTCTTACGTTCACGTCGACATTTATAAAAAAAAACGTATTATATTTATCCATAATTAAAATAATAACAGTAAAATTTTTTCTCTGAGTGTTGGGATCATTTAAGTTAAAATTTGTTATGGAAATACAATTTGTGAACTTTTGTGTTTTCTAATTAATACAATAAATTTAGATAGAGTTCTTCTCTCTACACATATATCTATTTTTTTATTAAACAAATAATTCTATATATAACAGATAAGAAAAAATAAAAGTGGTAAAAATATATAAAAGTTTTGAAAAATATAATTTCGTTCCGGTATGATTGATTGATCAAGATTATTTAGAATGGATTGTATGATGATACTACCATTTCTAATCAATCGTTTCTGTTTTTCAAATATGATTGGATCATGAACTTTTAATTCTTGATTCATACAAGTAAAACGAGAATTTTTTCCAGATTCTTCTCCAAAACTTTTATCTACGATTTTTAAAAAATCGTGACATGTGAATTTTTGAGGTATAGTAGAAACTATTTGTTTTCCAGTAGCTGTAATAAAATATATTCTTATTGTTGGTTCAATCTAAATAGAAAAAAGCAACAGATTTATTAAAATAAATAAAATCTTTGTAGAACTTTACTTTATTTTGTTCGATTACTGTTCGATTCCAATCGCAATTTGTTATTTTATCACAAACAAAAATAACATCTCCATTGTTTATTAATTTTCTTTTTCGCATTTGAGAGATAGTCGAATTGTTAAGTGATAATCGTCTACCTTTACAGAATAAAATACAATTCTCAGCATCTTTGCAGTTCAATTTGTTTTGTATTACTTCAAATATATCAATTAGCTCAAAATCTTCAGGTAATGTAGCAACTGTACGTCTTCCACATATTGTAACAAAATAGAGATTGATAAGGGACATATTTTAATTAGATCTAAATTACTTGATTCAATATTTAATTTAAAACGCTAGATCTTGTGTTTTTGATGGTGCATTTATATTCTAAAGATACTTATATATGTTGTTATTACACCATCAAAATTTGTTTTGACAAACTCGGCGTCAGAGATACGGTTTGTCACCTTGTTAATGATAAAATTTATGTCACCAAAACAAGAACAATGAAAGATAAACGACGAAAAATTGTGACTAAGAAACTGATAAAGATTTTTTCGATGAATTTTAACCCTTGCACTAACAAGTCTTTTTTCAAATTTTAAGGGCATCTAGCACTCTCTACGTACTCATCCCACATGGTATTTTTAAATATTCGAGGGAATAGAATATCTTAGTACTAAGATTAAAAATGGATCGTTTGTTAAAATGCGTTAAATTATGTTCAGACAGTATGAAAGAATTTAAATGATATTCAATGTCTTGTAATTTGAGTTTTATTAATTCTTCGTTATATACAAACTTAGTAAAACACGATTAAAGAAAAAAAATTAAGTTAAATAATGATCAATTAATTTAGAAGTATTTCTAGTACTTCTTCTCATAAATTTCATTACTATCAATGAAATAAATGAAAATTATCTAGTATCAGTATTTTTCTTTTCTCTTGATTCTATCATTATTTTGTTTAATTGTCTCAAAAAATATGAAAAGTTTAATAAGTTACAACCTGAGAATAAATATGATCTCATCTATAACATTAAAAAGTCTATCACACTCATTCTCAATGTGTACTACAAGAATGTTCATCTTCTTAAGACATAAAAGATGGATGAAGATGAAATCAAACATGGTATAAGGTTAAATAAAATTACTAAAAGGATAAGATATTTAATTTATATTCATGAATAAATACATATAAGATAATAATATAAGTTTATATCTATTAATAGCATGGTTCTATCTACGTGTGCGTGTATATACAGACAATACTTTTTTTTGAAGAATGATCATTAAATTAAAAATGCTATCGAAAAACTGGATCGTCATTTATCATAATTTCAGACATTTTGTTTTTGCTCATCACGTAATTATATCTTTGCGTACTATGATTCTTCCAACTACCTTGTTATATTTTGCTACCTCCTTTCTGACTCATTTATACGTAGCCTATGAAGTAAAAAAATAATTGGCAGGCGAAAAATATATTTAAGTAAAAGGAAGCATATGATTTTACCATTTCATGAGTGTATTTCATATTCTGACATATTAAAAAGGAGAAAAAAAGGAAAAAAAATGTATTCTACCTGTCAATGTATATATACAGTGATATAACATTCGTTACCAAGTCATAAAACAAACTACAAAATACATGTGGCGTTCCTATCAGCGTCAACCATATCGACCATCAAATGGCGTGCATCGTGTTCAAGGAATTGGAAACAATGCTGTTCGATATCCAAGACCTCAATTAGCACAGCAACAAATACGGGCGCATCGACCGATAGTTAATCCACCACCTTCCATGGATCAGGATCGTTTGTTTAGTAGTATACTTGCTTTATTTTGTCTCAACAGGAATAGACCAGGCAGACAGCCATTAAATAGCAGCAATGCTGCTGGAGGTGGTGGTGGTTTTATTGGAGGTGTAGGTGGTCATAGCGGAGG